GTATCTGCTTACCCTGGCCCTGAATGTGGGAGCAATTATTATAATCATGGGGTAGCACTAAACCTGGAGGATTATACAGCACCTGTGGTGGAAAGGATGGAAGGCATTCAGGCTCAATTCAGGAAACGAGCACAAATCCAATTCCCTAGATCAAGAGCCACTTGCCAGCGTCAAGGAATCCCCCTCGAGAGGTGGGAGCAATTATAACAGAAGTATGCTGCATTTTGTTATTTCATGGGCGAGTGCTACACCTCAAGTGGTCATGCATTACTATATTTTGCAGGAGCTACTAAACCCAAAGGGATGACATAGCACAAGGGAGGCTGCATGACCCTTGTAGGTTTAGCACTTTTTTGATTATAATAACAGCACAAGGGGGAGTGGCAGGCAATTGGATCTGATTAAATTACTGGAAGGCTAATTCCAGTTCTTTGGATCAAGAGTCCTTCACCAGTGTTAAGGTACCTCACATGAAAGGAAAGTTAAGTCACAATACCTGGCCTGAATAGTTCACTCTTTGGAGCAGTAAAGATGTTTTCTCTCCAGTTTTTTTTTTTTTTTTTTTTTGTGAATAATAATGGAATAATAATGCTTTAGAACATAATATTGTACAATACTTTTATTTAGATAATGATGATAATACTACATTATAATACAGTATATCCTAAAAGTGCTAGACCTGCACAGTTCATGTCTCCTGAACTAATGTAATTACCGGTACTATGCATCAAAGCAAAATTAAAGATCAAATCTAAAATTTTGAATGTAAAACAATAATAAAAATTAATAATTTAAGAACTTGGGTTAATTAGTGGATAATTATTAAACATCATTAACTGTAATCTAGCAAAATGGTTATAACCTTAAAGATTCCTTTACCAAAGGATTATTATTGGTGAAGCATTCAATATATATCGGTCATATAGTGACTGGGAATGGGAGGTAATAAGGTTTGATTCAAGGGGAGGGTTAGCTCCAATTCCTTAGATCAAGAGCCCTTCACCAGCCTCAAGCCACATCACTGAAGGGCCCTTAATCAAGAGATTTGCAACTGTGACCAGAAAAGGTTCATTGGTTATTATATCCCATAAGTGCAGTATCCCAAGACTAAACTGCAAAATTGTCCTCTGGTCCATGTCTCATAAAACAGTTAAAGAAAACAAAACATTGCTAGCTTTTGCCATAATTATTCCAAAATTTGTATTACTCTTTATTACAGAAATTCATCATACTTCCTAGCTAATGAAGGATCTTGTTTTTGCAATTCGTTCAGCATGAAAGAAAAAAAAAGTTCATATAAATAAAAAAATACTGTAATGACATTTACTTCAATGTAGTTTTATATACATTACAATATACAAAATTTCATGAATATTCATGTTTGAGAGGCTATTGTTAATATGCACAACCCACTAGATATTAAGGTACAGAAGTAGAAATTACATATATTGCTGGTATAGAAAACGTTTTAAAGCTACATTACACTTCACACATTAATCTAAAATAGACACTACAGTATATTTCGAATACTGGTAATTGTTTTTAGTTTATGTGAAGTAAAAACTAATAAATACAGCAGGTCTTGTCATGAATTTACCAGCCAGTGAAACTTTTCACTCTGCCTATATATGAAAAAAATGTATACACTTGGTGAAAAAGAGTAATAGGTGAAAAAGTTTATTTTTTGTCTTCTTACATAAACTTTTGAACACAAAAAAAAACATCATTCGCTTCTGACAGCAATATAGAAGATTGCATTAAACTGTTACACTGTTAAAAAATACAACTGGATATTATACAGCAGCATAAAACCTTCATTCTGATACATACTGAAAGACCAATGCAATGCACTGGAACCTGGAATGTATTACCCATTTGATATATACTTTTCAGGTATTCTTTCAGAAAGATTTAACAAATTATTACTAAAAAACATGTAAATACAGTATATCTTACATGACTATGAATGATATTCTAAGCTCTACCAATATTAGCCGCCAAAGCTTTTCCCTTACACTAACCACCCTGGATAAAAATAAGTAAGTTAATGAAGTGTCCTTGAATGTCCACGCCTTCCACTCAGTCTGGGAATACGTAACACTCACACTGGTACACTATGTTCCACAAATTGTGGAACAGTGTACCAGTGTGAGCGTTGCGTATTCCCAGACTGAGTGGAAGACGTGGACATTCAAGGACACTTCATTAACTTACAGCATGTGCATATATCAAGAACATACATTCATACATACATACACTCATTGATACAAATACAATACATACAAACACCTGTAGAAGCTATGAATGGAAACGGGTTTCTGTACATTATACCAGGCTATCAATTATATTTCTTTGATATTCAACTTTGGTTTTACTGTGCCATAAAAAAGTTTGTTAAAATCACAGTGGATGAATTAAAGAAAGCAGTCAATCTTACATTGGACATTCATCAAATTCAAATTATACTTAAAATGACACTGTAAACTGATGTTATCATTATTTCACAACATGAAGCTTTATATATATATATATTATATATATATACAGTGGACCCCCGGTTAACGAACTTTTTTCATTCCAGTAGTATGTTCAGGTGCCAGTACTGACCGAATTTTTTCCCATAAGGAATATTGTGAAGTAGATTAGTCCATTTCAGACCCCCAAAACATACACGTACAAACGCACTTACATAAATACACTTACATAATTGGCAGCATTTGGAGGTGATCGTTAAGCGGGGGTCCACTGTATATATATATATATATTTTTTTTTTTTTCAACAAGTCGGCCGTCTCCCACCGAGGCAGGGTGACCCAAAAAAGAAAGAAAATCCCCAAAAAGAAAATACTTTCATCATCATTCAACACTTTCACCACACTCGCACATTATCACTGTTTTTGCAGAGGTGCTCAGAATACAACAGTCTAGAAACATACACATATAAAGATACACAACATATCCCTCCAAACTGCCAATATCCCAAACCCCTCCTTTAAAGTGCAGGCATTGTACTTCCCATTTCCAGGACTCAAGTCCGACTATATGAAAATAACCGGTTTCCCTGAATCCCTTCACTAAATATTACCCTGCTCACACTCCAACAGATCGTCAGGTCCCAAGTACCATTCGTCTCCATTCACTCCTATCTAACACGCTCACGCACGCTTGCTGGAAGTCCAAGCCCCTTACCCACAAAACCTCCTTTACCCCCTCTCTCCAACCCTTTCGAGGACGACCCCTACCCCGCCTTCCTTCCCCTATAGATTTATATGCTTTCCATGTCATTCTACTTTGATCCATTCTCTCTAAATGACCAAAACCACCTCAAAACCCCTCTTCTGCCCTCTGACTAATACTTTTATTAACTCCACACCTTCTCCTAATTTCCACACTCCGAATTTTCTGCATAATATTTACACCACACTTTGCCCTTAAACAGGACATCTCCACTGCCTCCAACCGTCTCCTCGCTGCTGCATTTACCACCCAAGCTTCACACCCATATAAGAGTGTTGGTACTACTATACTTTCATACATTTCCTTCTTTGCCTCCATAGATAACGTTTTTTGACTCCACATATACCTCAACGCACCACTCACCTTTTTTCCCTCATCAATTCTATGATTAACCTCATCCTTCATAAATCCATCCGCCGACACGTCAACTCCCAAGTATCTGAAAACATTCACTTCTTCCATACTCCTCCTCCCAATTTGATATCCAATTTTTCTTTATCTAAATCATTTGACACCCTCATCACCTTACTCTTTTCTATGTTCACTTTCAACTTTCTACCTTTACACACATTCCAAACTCATCCACTAACCTTTGCAATTTTTCTTTAGAATCTCCCATAAGCACAGTATCATCAGCAAAAGTAACTGTGTCAATTCCCATTTTGAATTTGATTCCCCATATTTAATCCCACCCCTCTCCCGAACACCCTAGCATTTACTTCTTTTACAACCCCATCTATAAATATATTAAACAACCATGGTGACATTACACATCCCTGTCTAAGACCTACTTTTACTGGGAAGTATTCTCCCTCTCTTCACACACCCTAACCTGAGCCTCCCCTATCCTCATAAAAGCTCTTTACAGCTTTAGTAACTTAACCCCCCCTA